GACGACACACACGCTCTTGACATCACTAGTATTGCATGGCAGTGGTATCCCCAGGTTCTGCTGGTTGGCTTCTTCGCAGTCTTCTGTAGGCATCGGGTATTTGTTTGGAGTTGTCGGAGCGTCTTGGGGAGATTCGGAGCCATTTGTCGGCGGCGAGCGAGGGGAGAATGAGAAGGAGAAGGCCCTCTCAGAAAGCGGCGGGATTTCTCAGAAGGCCTCGTGCCTTCTGAGAAGTGTTCCGTGTCTTCGGGAAAGGCTTCGCAAATTTATCAAAAGGAAGACCGGGGAAATCCCGAGCCTTCTGAGAAGGTCCGCCCCTTCTCATTTCCCCCCCCCGCTCGCCGCCGAAAGGGGGGAGATGCTTGAGGCTGTCTTGGAGGTTTGTCTCGTGCTCCTCAGTGTTTCCTCTTTCCTTAGTGCTTCCTTTTTCCCTCCTCCGGCTCGTGATCCTCGCCCTCACAAAACACGAGCAAGCGCAATACCGCGCCTGTCTTGCACTGCTCCTCTTCGCTCCTCTGAGTGCACCCGAGTCGGAGTTCCCGACGCCTCCCCTGACGCCCGCGGACACTGCTCTTCCCCACTCCGTACTCGGTGCGGATCAGGAGGAGGATCAGGAAGAGGATCAGGAGGAGGAGGAGGAGGAGGAGGAGGAGGAGGAGGAGGAGGATAGGGGAGGAGGAGGAGGGGGGGAGGAGGGGGGGGAGGAGGAGGAGAGGAGGAGGAGGAGGAGGAAGCAGGTCCTCCCCTCTTCCTCGGCGGCCGCCAGCACGAGTCTTCCTGGCGCTGTCGCCCGGCTTCGGGCCCCCATGGGGCCCGAAGCCAGGCGACAGCGCCAGGCGTGGACATGTTGGAAGCGACGCCCGGAGCTCAGCCTTCTGCTCCCTTTCCTCCTTCCTCTCTCGCCTCCTCCTCCTCCTCCTCCTCCTCTCCTCCTCCTCCTCCTCCTCCTCCTCCTCCTCCTCCTCCGCCTCCTCCGCCTGCTCCTTTAAAATGCTCCCCAGCGAGGCCCCGCGCAGCCGTTTTGCCCCGCGGCGGGCGCGGCCGGGCCCGCGATCACGGGACGCCCTCCAGCGCCGAGGGAAGGCGCGAAGGCAGGTATCGCCGATGGCCGAAGGCGATAGCTCGTGTGCACCCCGGTTTGGGAGAGTCGCTCACGCAGCAGCCGACGGCGCGCGTGGCGGCGCCTGCGTTCAGCAAAGCGCAGGCTGACGGAGCTTGGCTTCAGGTGGCCTCTCAGCGCGCAGTGGCAGTCGTGGGAGGCGAAGGTAGAGCCCGCCGCCGCTCCTTGCAGTGCAGCAGTAGGAGCGGGCGACGCAGCGACGACAGCCGAGGAGCCGCGGTGGGGCCTGCACTGGATGCAGGACAGCGCGGGCGAGGCAAAAGGAGGCCAGGAAGGCCGCGGAGGCTAAGAAGGCAGAGGGGGCCAGGAGGGCCGAGGGGACAGGGCAGTGGCAGCGTTGCGCGGGGAGTTCGTGTGAGAAGAACGGGCGAGAGGCAAAGCTGGAGCCCACTTTTCTAGACACATTACTGGAAAGTGCGAGCGCGAGAACTGGGAGCCCATGATTGTGCCGAACACCATCAGCTCCAGCGCAGGCAGCGGTCGCCTCAAGTGGGCGGGCAGTGGCCGTCGAAAGAGGTCGGGCCCTGCGCGCGCGAGAAGATCGGGCATTGGCAGCTCCGTAAGGGCCAGGACCGACCTTGCGAGAAGTGCGGGCAGCGGCAGCCTCAGGAAGTCGTATTCCGCGTGCGCGAGAAGGACGGGCAGTGGCAGCCTCGAGCGCCCTGGCCGACGCAGGAGGGTGCATTTTTACTTCTGGCAGGGGCCAGGGCTAATGAGAAAGACGGGCAGTGGCGGCCTCGAGCGTGCGAGAAGGTCAGGCAGTGGCAGCCCCAACTTGACGGACTGTCGCAGCATTCGACGGACGGACAGCGGACGCCTCGCGATGACGGACACTGTGCGTGGGAAGTGAGCGAGCAGCGCGAAATGGACGGGCAGTGGCAGCAGAAGGCGAAGGACGAGCCTGGGAACAGCGCGTGCCAGAAATGGGAAGCGGAGGTCGAGCCCGACACCATTATTCACAGCGTTGGGACCAGGACGTGCGAGAAGTGGCAGGCGAAGCTAGAGCCCAGTATCGTCTGCAGCGCGCGCGAGAAGGAGCGCGGGAGAAGGATCCGCCAGGCGATGTGGGCAGCGCGGCGGGTCATCGCCAGCAAGTGGCCGCCGTGCCAGTCGAGGCCCACGCGCGAGGCTGAGGCAGCGCAGCAGCAGAGGCTGGTGCGCAGGCCGTGCATCACGGCCCGCGCAAAGCGCAGGGCTCGCGAAGGAAGGGGGCGCCCATCCAAACGCTGAGGCGCAGAGCGCCAGGGAGCGGGCGCGGCGAGCGGCGGGGCTCTCTGCTACTAAGCTTACACGCTCCGCCGCTGCCGTGGACCCCGCCCTCGGCGAGGGCAGCGGCAGCCGTCGGCGGGCGCTGCCAACTCGCGCGGGACGCCCGAATGGGCGCGGACGGGCAGTGGCAGCCTCCGTGCGAGAGGGACGCCCGAATGGGCGCGGACGGGCAGTGGCCGCCCTGCGAGGGCATTGTGGCTGCCTGTGCGAGAAGGGCCGTCGCCTGTGGGACGGGCCCGCGCGAGTCGCGGCGCCCGCAGGCGAGGGCGCGGCCGTGGGGCCGCGGCGTGCTCCCCCACCCACCCCCTCCTCCGCGCGGCCCCGGTCGCTTCGGGAAGTGTCTTAGAAGTGTCTCCTCCTTTTCTTCCTCCTCCTCCTCCTCCTCCTCCTCCTCCTCCTCCTCCTCCTCCTCACCCTCCACTGGCGGTCCCCAGGAGAAGTGGGACAGCTGGATCGACGCGGTCAATTCGGGCGCCAGCCTCACCAGCAACCAGGCCTGGCACGTCGCCTCGGCGTGGGTGCAGGCGGAGGCCGAAGTGGCAGTGGCGCGCCCGGGCGGGCGCAGGGCTGCGCGCGCAGCGGGCAAGGGCCTTCTCCATCCTCCGAAAAAAAGGTTTCTAAACGTGCACTTTCGGAGCTCCGCGCGGATCTTCGGATCTTCGCTGGGGCCGCCTGACGCCGCCTCCGGTGCCGCCCTCGGTGGCGCGCGCCGCGCGCCAGGGAGGGGTGCGCAGCGCAGTTCCAACACATCCGCGCGGACCTCCGAAGGTTTATGGTTATGCTGTCTTTTCATCCTCACGGGCACAGCGGGGCAGGGGGAGGGAAGGAGGCTTCGGGGAACGAGGCTGCTTCGCAGAAGGCGCCGGCCTTGCATTCACGGACAAGGCCCGCGCGTTCTAAGAGGCAGGGTGCTTCCAAGACGCCTCCCCCCTTCCCCCACACCCGTTTCGTGAGCGCCGCCAGGTCTTATCCTCCTCGTCGCGAGAAATCCGGGCTTTCTCAGCTTGGCCGGGGCCTTTGGGTGCACGTTTAGGGTTGCCAAGACACGATATCCAGGATGAAGAGCAAATGTGGCCCAGGGAGAGCGTCGAGAGCCCGGGGCCCAGGTCACGAAACAATCGTGATTTCTGAGGACTGGTACCGGTTTTTCAAGTCCCAGGAGGAAAAGAAACACACAGACACAATGAATCGTCGACTCCCAGGAAAAGATTGGAAACATTGGGAAGTGGGGGGGGAGACAAACACATTAAAAAGATGTGAAAATATTGGGAATCTTGTTATTTGTGTGTATTTATTTGTGTGTCCCTGGGCCCCTTGAAAGTCATTGTTTCGCGGATCGGCCCGGGCCCCTGGCCTCGCCCCCCCCCCCTCCATAGACCAGATCTCGGCTGCTTTGGGCGACTGGTCGGGGCCACTTCCCCCCCAGTCTGCCTATACGACTGGTGAAACCGATCGACGAAGCACTGGCCCGGGCCCAGGCCCCCCCCCCCCTCCCCCACCCGTCGGCCAACTGGCGAAATCAAGAATGCAAAAACGCCTCCTGGAGAGCGACCGTCTTTTTCTGCTTATGGTTGCAGGTCTCTGGGCCCGACTCGTCGCCCCGCGACAGTCCGGCCAGTTCACAGCTTGACATTCTGTCGAAACCGAAACTGTACTTGTCTTTGATCAGGATGCTAACACATATATAGTTCGATTCATTAGACGTTCGTATATTTTGAAGGCCTTACGACCAGTGCCGCCAGATCGTAGGGCCTTCGTATATTCTAAAGGACTTACGATCACGAAAACACATCGCAAAACCGAATGAATATCTGTAAGATTGCCCTCTTGGGGTTCTCTTGGAAGTGCTCTTGAGGCTCTCTTCGGCCTCTTGAGGGCCTTCTGGGGGCTTCTTGGGCACCCTTGGGGCCCCTTGGGCCGCTTGTGGGCCTCTTTGGGGCCTCTTTGGGCGGAAGGCTTGACATGACAGTTGGTGTTCCCCTTCCCGGGGGCTTCTCAGGGTCGTTTTTGGGCCCCCCTCGGCCGTCTCGGGCCCTCCTGGACCGTCTTGTTTCCGTCTTGGGCCGTCTTGGGGATCATAATACGTTCGTAATTACACTCATCTCATGCGGGTGACCATTTACCCGTTCCCTGTTCCCCCATACTTCGCTATCGTATCTCGGACAGGTGATCCAGTCTGGTCAAAGCCTGTTGATGCTCGTCGCGTGATTTCCTCAAGCCAAAATCCCGTCCTTGGGTCTAGACGACGGCTTGGATTTCGCGTTTGGAGCTTCAGCGACCAATCCATTTTGCGACGTCGTGACAGATGCGGCAAGTGCTGTGACTTGTGTTGGTGCGCGGCCGTCTGAGGCGATGCAGCGGCGACGCTTCATGACATGTACAGTCCTCATGTGGCTGCCGCCTCTCACAGCTTATCTCGGGGAGGCTTCCGGGCGCTGCACTGCCCCTCGTCGGGCTTTCGGCCGGACCGTTGGAGCTTGTCTCGCTTCGTCTGGCGGTGCTCCGCAAGCCAAGGGGGAGGCATCGAAGGAAGGTCAAACGCCAATAAAAAAGCAAGCGAAGGTCGTTCGCCGACGTCGGTGGGAGCGCCCGCTCCAGAACTCGGCAGCGAGCCCGGGGGGGAGGTCCGAGGGGGCGGGCCTTCTCGGAAGGCTCAGAAGTCACCCGGCCTTCTGACGCATGGTTCTTAGCCTTCCCCGAAGGCACAGAGAGGATTTCTCGGGAGGCTCCGAGGTCTCTCCGCCTTCTGAGAAGGCTTCTGAGCCCTCCTCGAAGACGCAGAAAAAGCGTCTCGTATGACGCGCGGGCTTCTGAGAGGTCCCGCCGCCTTCTGAGAAGACCTGCTCCTTCTCACTTCCTCCACCTGCTCGCCGCCGAAGGACGCTCGCGCAGCTGTCGCGTCCTCATCCGTGTCGGAAACGATCCAGCAATTTTCGCGCATAGCATAGCTATGGTGTGAACTCCCCCCCCCACCCCCCCGAATGCACTGTTGGGCTCGGATCTCCCGAGTTTGAGTGTCTCGGGGCGGACGAAAGGGGGGGATTGGGAAGGAGTCGGTTGCGAAATTTGCTGCATGCAGCTGGTTTCGGCCCCACCGAGGGGCCCATTCCTCGATACATAGCCGCCGCCGGCGCCGGGAGGCGCCGGGAAAGTCAGCTACGGGAGCCGATTCTCAAACCCCCCCTTTGCTATCCCCCCCTTTCGCCCGAGTTTCAGCGTCGGACCAGTGAGGCGTACGCGTGCCAACCTTGACCTGCTGGGGGAGGGGGGAGCGTTGCTCCATTTGTTCCCTCGACCGGAGGACGGGCTGCGCGCGGGGCTTAGTGGGCCTCGGAAACGGCAGGGCCGTTTTCTCGCCGTTTCCGAAAAGGTGTCCCTTGAACATGGAAACGGCAAAACATCGGCGACCGGAAACGGCAACAAAAACGGCTCCAGGATTGGAACCGGAGCAGGAGCCCGTAAAAGAACGGCGGCGGAAGCGGTAAAAAACGGTATCGGAACAGGGCTTTTCGCCGTGTTCGGGCTCCCGGGGCCCACCACGGGCCCCCAGGCTGTCGGAGAGCGGCGCAGGGTGAGAAGCTCGTCCTGGGGGAAGGCCCCAGGGTCCAGGACTCGTATCCCTCGGGACCCGTTTCCCCCATGCTGGGAGTGGCAAGTGGCCGCGGCAGCAGCGGCAGACGGCATCGGCAGCGTCAGCGGTGGCGGCAGCGGTACTGCCAGGGCGGGAAGCGAGAAGGATGGGAGTTGGGACCGATCGAGGCGGGGGCGACCGGTGGGTGATGGCGTGGAGGGCACCGAGTCGGCCCCTCTGGAGGGAAGTTGGTGCGCCCGTCAGATCGAGAGCACCCTGACCTCCATCATCGTGGCCGTGGCATCTGGCTGGCTGGGGGTGCTGGCGTTCACCCAGGACAGGGGGGGGTGGCCGAGGACCACGGCGATCGAGACTTTGGCGACGATGGTGGGAGTACGAACGTGGGGATGATCCTGCGAGGATGAGGATGCTGTTGATGGGGGGTGGAGATCGACCTGCGGTGATGCAGCAGGAGGGCGAGGATGGTGACCGTGAGGCCGAGGAGTCGGACGGGGATGCCGATGGGGGTGCCCGGGAGGACGAGGAGGCAGAGATGGGGGGGGACACGGCGTGGGGCTGGGTCGGGCGGGCTGCAGGCAGAGGGGCCCCGCCGCGGAGAGGATCCGTACCTCGCCTGCCTCGTGGTCGGCGTCGTGGCCGGCGTCATCGTCGGCCTGGCGTTCTTCATGATCTGCCTGGCGGGCTGGTCGCTGGGGCCCATCGAGGCCCGCCCCGCCGAGCCGCCGCCCTCCCGACCCGCCGCGGCCCGTGCGGGTGCAGCAGAAGGTACAGGCGGCCACAAGGGGGCTCTCGGGAGTCCCCCGGGGAGCTCCTCCACGATCGAGCGTCCCCTCCGCCCTCCTCGCCCCCCCCCCCCCCTCCGCGCCCCTCGCAGACCTCTTTCCCTCCCCTGCCGCGTTCTCCGCCCTGGGCTTCCCCGCCCAAGAGGGGCCTGCGAGAGGGGTGGCGGAGAAGGAGAGAGAGAGAGAGAGAGGGGGGGTGCTGAATGGCGGCGGGGGGGGAGAGGCAGATGGAGGTGGGATGCAGCGAGTGTGAGACAGAGAGGGAGAGAGAGACGGAGAGAACATCCTGACCTTCGATTTTAAACCAGTGAGCATAGTATTGCGAGCGCGGTCTGCGTGCAAGTTTCGTTCCAAACTGTTGAGGCGAAAAAGAGCGAGCAGTGACCAAGTTTGGCAGCAGGAGAGGATAGGTTGGGAGACACGATGATGCACATGTGAAAGCAGGGTGGGTGGAAAATGAGATATAGAGACAGATAGAGAGATCCGACATCTCAAATCTTTAAGTGCTGCCAAGTCCGTGGGCTGGACCAGCGCCGGCACCTCGGGTCGGAGGCGTGCGAAAAACCAACTTTGGCTCGCTCGAATCTTCTCAAACAGTCAAGGCGCTGGGCACCGCTGTGCTGGCGCTGAATCATACACCGCGGTGCTGGCACTCATACCGGACGGTTGACGGTCGGGGGGGGAGGAGGGCGGAGAGGGGGAAAGGTGAACAAGGTTAACATGGTAGGGAGGATGAACGGGGTGAGGAAGAGAGGAGAGACCGATCTGGTTCTTAGGCGTACTCCTGTAGGCAGAACTGGGAGCTGTGCTGGGCAATCTCTCCATGGTCTCACTCCAGAAAAGCATGGGCTGTACGCTGCCTGTGCGAACGGATCGGATGCGTGGGGTGTGGGGGGGATCTGTCCTTAAAGATGGGCACCGAGACCCCAACGAGGCCTGTGAGAACATGACGCATGACCATCGTTTCGCGATGACGCATGACGCATTTTTAGGGCATGACGCATAACGCATGGCGCAAGTTAGAACATGACGAGGACTGCTAGAACATGACGCATGACGCATGTCAGAGCATGACGCATTACGCATGGCGGCATCTGATCTCGCTCACTCGTGAAGCTGGAAGGACACTGGCATACATCAGCCTCTCGCGCGTGGGTCCAATTCAGCGTGATGTATGCTTTCGCGAAGTGGGCTAGACCCTAGTCGCTCGCAGGTGTAAACAGCCACAAGGAAGACGCAAAACGAACCCAAGAGTGAGAGAATCCACGAACCTCACTAGGCCTAGATGGCCTCCACCATCGCGCCGGACTAGCTGGCCGCCGCGCGCGCCCATGCGCGGGTTAGCGCGGCCGCAGAAATGCACCAGCCGACGCCAAGCACTCATCGCCATCGCCGCTGCATTGGTTTTGCAAACCAAGTTGCAGGTGAGTGGTCGGGATTGGTGTTTGGGATTGAAGTTTGCCTTTCAATTAGTAAGCACCGATTCATTCGGTTAACAAAGCAGTCGGATCTCCCACCCCACCCTTTGGGTTCTGCAAACACTCTAGGTGTCGTAAGGATTTCGAAACCGACTGCCCCGAAAGCGCATAACACATGGTTTCGCAACAAGAAGTCTCGAACAAGAGATGTGTTCCGCGCTCTTGCGAGTTCTTAAGACGATCATCGGCCCTTCAACATCCACATTCAATGCTGCCAAATGGGCTTCTCCCGCGCTCGTGTCGAAATCGTTCGAACGCCCTTGCGCGCGTGTTCTCGCAAGATTCCCGCGCAACGAATGGGGCGGCGTGCGCGCGCGCGCGTCGTCGCGCGAGCATGCAGAAACCCTTCCAAGCGAATAAGTGCCGTAGTGATGCGAAAGCGAGTGCCCGGGGACATAATATCACACGCGGTTTTGCAACAACTTTGTTCTTCAAACCGAAAACGAATCGCTCGGGGCATTTCCCCTACATTCAGCCGAACGGGTTGGTCGCGCCGCAAGTCGACATCGTTCGGACGCCCTTGCGCGAGTGCTGGGGGCACGAGCCGTGTCACATAATACCAAGCTGGCCACCGTCGCGCGTCGGCAGCGCGCGTTTGTCAAACTCCTTCCAAAACCTTCATCGCCGACGCGAGGACGCCGTCATCGTCGTCGGCCGTGCCGTCGCCAATGTCATTATCGCCGCCAGCGTCGCTACTGTCATCATCGTTTCTACCGTTGCCGGCGTTGCCATGATACCGCTGGGAAGTGCTCACGGGTCACCGCCACGGCGGCCGTGATGGCCGCTAGCTGGCCGCTGCGCGCGCGAGCAGGCGCGAGGTAGTGCGGCAACCGGAATGCGCCAGTCACCACCAAACATTCATGTCAATCGCATTCGTTCGCGCTTTGCAAAACAAGTTGCGTTTGTGTGGGTGGGATGGTTTCGCGAGCAGTGGGGCTCACAACTGTGCGTTTCACAAGTGAATTCTCCTTTGTAGAAACAGAATAGGATCTACCCCCCCCCCGGCGTTATCGCCCCCCCTTTCGGGTATGTAGATCATATTCGATTCTGACCAGATCTCCATCCTAAATATGAAATTACAGGATCCCCGGGGGGCCGGTATCCCCTCCCTGAGGTTCCATGACACTCTTTGTTCTAACATAACACCTTTTCGCGAATCCCTTGCAAAAAATGTGACGAAGTGCTGACGCGCGCGTCATCGCGCGCGAATGCCGAAATCTTTCAAAACCCTTCGGTGCCGGAAGGATTTCGCCATCGAATTTCCAAACAACATACAAAAACACATGGTTTCGAAACATTGATTTGCTGAAAACATTCCGCGCGAGCTCTTGCGAAATCTTAAGAAAACCATAGGCTTTTCAACATTTTTACAAAATGCTATTAAACGGGCTTCGCGCGCGCATGTCGAAATCTGTCGAACGCCCTAGCGCGTGTGCCGTCGCGGGAATCTTCTGCAAAAAATGGGACGGAGTGCAGACGCGCGCGTCGTCGCGCGCGTATGCCGAAATCCTTCACAACCCATCGGTTCCGGAAGGATTTCAAAATCGTGTGTCCAAAAAACCTACCAACACCCAAGGTTTCGCAACACGGATTTTCAACAAAAGCGTGCGCGCGCGCTGTTGCGTCGTCGTCGTCGTCGTCGCCGCCCTCCCTCCTCCCGCGTCGTCGTCATCGTCGCCTACGTCGTCTTCTGTGTTTCCTCGTGTTCGTCGTCGTCGTCCTCGTTGGCGTCGTGGTCGTTTCCGTCGTCGTTGTCGCCGTGGTCGTCCTTCCTCCTCCTCCCTCGTCGTCGTCGTCGTCCGTCGTCGGCGTCTCGTCGTCGTCCCTCCTACATCGTCGCCGTCGTCGTCGTCGTCGTCGTCATTGCCGTCGTCGTCTTCTTTCCTCCCTCGTCGTTGTCGTCGTCGGCGTCGCCGTCCTTCCTCCTTCTTCGTCGTTCGCGTCGTCGCCGTCCTCCCTCCTCCCTCGTCGTTGTCGTCGTTGTCGCCGTCGTCGTCCTCCCTCCTCCCTCGTCGTCGTCTTCGTTGGCGACGTCGTTGTCGTCGTCGTAGTCGTTGTCTTCGTCGTCGTCGTCGTCGGCGTCGTCGTCGTCGGCGTCGTCGTCGTCGTTGTCATCGTCGTCGTCGTCGTCTCGTCGTCGTCGGTGTCGTCGTCGTCGTGGTCGGTGTCGTCGTCGAAGTCGTTGGAGACGTCGTCGGTGTCGTCGTCGTCGGTGTCGGCGGCGCCGTCGTCGTCGTCGTCGTCGCTGTCGTCGTCGGCGTCGGTGTCGTGGCCAAGGGCCATCTGGTACCCACCGTCACGGTCTTGTCTTAAGAGGTCTTGCGACCAAGTTGCGGGTGGGAGGGTGAGATGTTTGCACGAGCAGTGGAGAGGACAGCTTCAAGTTGAGCGAGTGATTGGTTGCACACCGTAAATTTTACCACATAGGTTGCCCAACGTGTAGTACTCTTCGCAATGTGCAGTACACCGATCGCGCCGCATAGGTTGCACGGCGTAGAATGCAGCCCATCGCGTGGACATTATACGTGTAGCTATGTATGTATGTATGTATGTATGTATGTATGTATGTATGTATGTATGTAAATACATGGAGGATGAGGCAGATCGACAGAGAAACATAGCAGACTGGAAACCAAGGCACGGGCTTGCACTTCACAATTTGCTCCACCTAGGCCGCCCCACATATATTGAACAACGCAGATTCCACAGCACAGGCTTCACGACAATTAGATCGGGGGTGTGGTCTGCATCCCCTGCCCGATGCCGCCATATAAATGCATATCGCCAGCTTCCTTCAACTCATCTCCAGTCGCATCCCCCCCCCGTAACATGCTATATTGTGTGTGTACAGTTTTATATTTATGTATATATATATATATACATGTGCCCTCCTCCATTTTTGTTCCTCCTCGCATCCGCCTTTCCCATCACCACCTAGATCAGCACCATGCTGATGATTATCATATTAACCCTCATCATCAGCATTAGCATCATCATCAGCATCAGCATCATAACCACCACCATCATCATCATCATCATCATCATCATCATCATCATCATCATCATCATCATCATCATCATCATCATCATCATCATCATCATCATCATCATCATCGTCGCCACCTCCCCCTCCTACATACAATGTCCAGTTGCATGTTTCCCGTCTGGCTCATTGGCCCCTCTTCCCCTCATCCCCCGTCCTCGCCCGCATACGTCGCCCTCCCGGAATGTCCTTGATCCTCGCCCTCCCCCGGCACCCTACTTGAGTGCCTTTAGGCGTGGGAGAGAGTTCTCCAATCAGAGTTCCTGACATGCGGCGCCCAGCAGCACCGCAGTTTTTTTTAGGTGGCAGGACACTTCGCGAGTCCGATGAGCTCTTGCAGGCTCCTCTCGGCGGTTCCCCCCCCCGTCCGCCCCCCCCTCGCGTCGCATTATCGTCCATCGCCTTGCCCTCCCCTCGCCCCCGCCCCCCCCTCCACCATACCCGCATTGCTCGGCGGCGTATGCTCAGGTCTCGCCGCTGCCCCCCCCGAGCGGAAGGGGCGAGCAGGCGGGCACAGCTCAGCAGACGGCGGGACCGTGCACCACCAAAATTTCGCAGACGGCCTGCATTTGTTTTTTTTTCAGTTGGATACAAAGTGCCCTCCCAGCGCCTGCCCTGTCCTGTAGTGTCCTTTCTTCTCGCCTTCCTCCCCCCTCATCTTCCCCGCCGCCTCCCTCGGCCCTCGTCGTCCCCCCCTTGCCCGCGAGGTGATCGCCCTGATCGTGTTCGTGGGCTACTCCGTGACCTTCAGCCTGCACATCGCGCACATCTACCACGAGGAAGGGGAGGGGGGGGCCATCCCGAACGCGGAGGGCGGGCCTTCAGGGCGAAGGGAGGGGGGGGGGCACGAGGAACACGAGGACGACAGGGGGGGGGGGGGGCGAGGGGAGCGGAGGCAGCACCTCCTGCCCACGGAGCAGCGGAACAGAACGGCACCCAGCTTCTTGTAGGTCGCTGGAGGCACGTCGTCCAAACCTTGTGGGCAAGAAGACAAGGGAGATGGTGAATGGACGGTTTCTCCATTCACCACCCTCATCCTTCTCCTCCTCCTCCTCCTCCTCCTCCTCCCCCTCCTCCTCCAGTCCATTTGCGTACTGCATTCCCTCTCCCATCGCCATCCTCCCACCGCCCTTCGCAGAGGCCACCTCCGTTGCAGAAGGGCGCCTCACTCCTCTCGACTACGGGATCGTGTCGGTGGCCGCACATGTCCACTCGCTAGCGAAGCAGCCATATTGGGACGACGGCTACAAGGACAACCCAGCCTGCAGCATGGCGTTCGCAGGCGGCGGCCCTTCTTCTCCGGGCAAGCGGAGGATGCGAAATAGGCCATCATTGTCATCGCAAGTGTTTTCCTTGACACGCTCGCAGAAACTGGGCTGGGTTCCTCAGGGTTGACGTTGGCAAGTCACATGCGCATGTTGCCTTCGATAGTGCAGTGTCCAAGCGGGTCCGACGAGAGACCTGGCATGAAAGCATATGGTCGGTGATGGTATTGTCTCAGCTTTACGTCGAGCCAAAGATCCATATAGTTCACTCGCTCACTCGCTCGTTTCACTGGGCACGGTGATTGACGAGCATGTCGCCGTGCATCCCGAGCTGTATCGCCGAGCGGCCACCACGGCCAAGACTCTAAGCAGGCTCCGCCCGAAAGCTCTCCAAGGCGCACAGCTCGAAGTCGCTGACAGCTTCTCGCAGCGCAGCTGGCAGCGTTCGCCACGACACTTCTCGCAGCGCAGCTGACCTTGGCTTACCGCGTCAGGGGGGCACATGCCACCACGGTATTGTCAATAAGATCTAGAGGGCAGCCGCAGAATGTAGCCCGATGGCAGGGGAAAATGGCGAGATGGATATCGAGACGCCGCCCGATGCGGACGACGGCGTGGTACAAGCCATTCGCACAGCGTGCCCGTCCGAGCGAGTTGTTCAAGGTCACGAGGCGACGTCTGCTGTGCAGTGACACCGTCGAGCGACCTCAAGGGGGTGGCCTCGTGCTGTTGAGAAGCATTATTTCGAGGAGCTCAAGGGGAATCTGGGTGCCATGCAGTCTGCCATGCAGTCTGCTCTTCAAAAGGGCCAGGAAACTGTTCAACTGTTCGAGTGTCTGAGGAGGCGGTCAGGTCGTCATTTTCGGGACCAGGTTCTGGCACCAGCGCTGGCAGCAACCGCGCAGTCAAGTCAGACGACGACCCTTAAGCACATAGCAGCATTTACGGCCACAGGGAAGGGATTAGTCCTCCCATTGGTCCGCTGGAGGCACATGTCCATGCCGACCCAGCCGCTGCAGTTCCACATCAGCATCTAGAGGATGTCGGTCACAGATGTCCTAATCGGCCCAGTGTTGTCATTCCCTCCTCCGAGCACGCCCTTGGTAGTGGTGTTGGGTTCACCACTCCGGAAAGACTGGGACCCGTCTCTGCAACGGCACGGTGACACCTACTATGTTGTATGGGTCGGAGGCTTGGGCGATGACCAAAGAACTGGAGAACCGCGTCCGGCGTACGCAGCGACAAATGCTGCGCACGATTATTCATCTGCCAAGGAGGCGGCTTGTGACGACCAGACGAACAACGAATTCCCATCCGCCCCCCCTCGATCTCCACATTCAACACGCAGCCGGCTCTCGCAGCAGACAGACAGCGGGCGCGATGTATCCAGCGTGCCATCTCCTATTCAGCGAAGAGCACCTCGTGGAATTAGAGCCTTGGGCACAATGGATCAAAAGATGCACGCATGAAGCCGAACGAGTTCTACACGATCTACACATGGAAGATTGGATTCGTCAGCAACGTCGGCGAAGGGGCGCGCTCTGAGACGGAGCCGTCTCCAGGATCGTGCTCGCACCGCTCCTGTGTGAAGGTGGCGCGGCTCGCCGCTCTTCGCCATCGGTGCTGGGTGGTGGACTGCAGCGATGACTCTTTTGTTTTTTTTGCCAGGTGTGTGAGAGCTACGCCTCTTGGGCAGCGACTCGCCAACCTCGCGGGGCGTGATATTGACCCTCTCGTCGAGCAGGATGCGCCCCCCAGGGCGCCCGCTCCTTGGGCTCGTATCTCGAGAGGCCGTCGTCCTCGCAGGCCTCGGGCGACGATTTTGGCGAGCACGATGGCTGCAGTGTGAACGTGAGTTGCTGAGGTGGTTCCCCTCTGGTACCGTCTCGGCCTCGCGTGCTGGCGAATTGCCTCTACTCGCCCGTCGCCTGCTGGTGGCGTTGCCGGGGTTGCCCCCTGGGGTCTGTGTGTCAGCATGGTCCTCTGCATCTATTTGCGCGGCGCTTCTTTGCATTTGCGTGCGCGCCGTGCGCTGACATTCGCGCTTGGCTGCTGTTGGCTATCGGTGCTGGGTGGTGGACTGCAGTGATGACTCTGGTGTTCGTTTGCGTCAGGTGTGCAAGAGCTACACCTCTCGGGCAGCGCCCCTCCATTCTTGCGCAGCGTCGTTCCCGCCTTCCCTGTAATGCAGAAGGGCTCTCCCAGGACACCCGCTCCTCGGCCCCGTACCTTGAAATGACCCAGAGCCCCGAATCATCAGGGGTAGCTGGGGTCAGGGTTCACTCAGGTTCGTGTTTCGGGAATCCAAACCCGAGTTACCCCGGACCAAGGTTACGCCAGATAACTCGGGCGTCCAGAGCCCCACACCATCAGGGGTAACCCGGGTCAGGGCTAACTCGGGCTCCTTTTCCGGGAATCCAAACCCGAGTTACCCCGGGCCCGAGCTACCCCGGATACTTCGGCCGCCCAAAAGATTGCACTGTGCGCGCGAGTTGCTGGCATGGCTCGCTCGTTGTGCCGTCTCTGTCTTGTGAGCTGGTGCATGGCCAGTACTCGCCCGTCGCCCGCTTTCCGCTCCAGGCCTTCGTGTTTCGCCACTCTGGAGTGGGAGTTTTGGCCCCATCTCCTGGCTCAACGCAGACAGGTGGTTGGTACGAGACGACGTCTCTACGGTAACGTTTTCACGTCTGGCTCCGCGCCAGCGTTTGCCACAATGGCCAAGCTGGCTGCCTGCGAAGGCCTCGCGGCCGGTGCCGCCGACCTTATGAGCAACGGGCAGCCATAGAGATTGACAGTTGGATGTTGAGCAGGAGGAGGAGGTGAGGGAGGAGGACAAGGACGAAGAGCAGGAGGAGGAGGAGGAGGATGGAAGGGGGAGGAGGGCGAGGGGGCAAGCGGGTAAGGGGAAAAAAACAGAGAGAGAGAGAGAGAGAGAGAGAGATCGAGATGGGCAGGCTGTCGGGGTCATCGTAGGGCTCTCACAGATCCATTGTGGATATTTGTTTGGCCCTCATGGGGCCATCGTTGGGCCCTCCTGGGGACAGCACGAGGCGGCATTTCTATGGTGGGCTGCTCCGGTTTGGTTCCCAGGCGACATTCGTCACAATGCCTAAGCTTATTTCGCTTCCGCAGCACCCCCGTAGGCCGTCTTGGCTCAGATTTTTGTTCAAGGACATGCGGCGGTTGCAGGGTTTGGTGCCCGACCTCCACGACCCCCCACACCTTCCAGATGACCTGGTAAAGTGGGGAAGCATGCCATCTTCCACATGCTCTGGAAGTAGAGGTGCAAACGCGCAGGGGGGGCACTGGCGGCCGCTTTAGCCAAGTAGCCGCCGTGGAGGTTTTTGCCATGCCACATTCACTCGGTTTGACCGCCAGGACCTGGTCATGCCTAGTGCGCAGTCGCCCATCCAGACGTCAGCAAGGCCGCAGATGCGCCAGGGTTGCCTCATGCACTCGAGCAATCGGCACCATTTCATCGAGCATCTCCCCACAGCATCGCCTGTGTGCCTGGCAGCCCCATGAACGCGGCGCCAGCGACCTTCTCAGCCGAAAAGGCGAACCAGCAGAACGGGGGACCCATTGCCGCGAGATATCACGATGTAATGCGAGGACAGTCCAGGCCAGAAGGGCTGACGCCTCCTGGCCGAGCAGGGGACCTGGCACTTGGAGAATCTGCACCAATGTGCCTCGAGGGGCACGTATGGCACGGAAACGCGGGAATGGAGGAGGAGAAGGAGGAGGAGAGGAGGAGGAGGAGGAGGATGGAGGAGGAGGAGGAGGAGGGGGAGGAGGAGGAGGAGGAGGAGGAGGAGGAGAGGAGGAGGAGGGGGGAGGAGGAGTAGGAGAGAGAGAGAGAGAGAGAGAGGGAGAGAGAGAGAGAGAGAGAGCAGGTAAGACGTATGGGGGAGGACAAGGTATGATGAGGATGTGAAAGGCAGGGGAAGGGAGGAGGATGAGGTAGGACGAAAGACTTGAGGAGGAGGAAGAGGAGGAGGAGGAGGAAAAGGAGGAGGAGGAGGAGGAAGAGGAGGAGGGGGAGGAGCAGCAGGAGGAGGAGGAGGAGGCAGGAGGTAGGTGGAGGGAGGAGGCACATCTCCACCGTACTCCACGGCGCGATCCCTCTCGCAGAGGGCCGCGCCCGTGGCCCGTGCCCCCCCCCCGTTGCCGGGGCCCTGGCAGGAGGGCCGCGCCCAGATGCCGGCCTCCCAGGAGCACTTCGGCGCCATCCACGCCCGCCGCCCGCCGCCTCCCTCGGGAGGCAGACGCCGTTCCGAGTGAGTGAGCACCACCCACCACGCCACCCCAACCCCAACCCGAAGGCCTCGATTTGCCCTCCACTTCCAGTGATGGGGGGGGGGGGGATCGGGGAGCGTCGAAAAAGCACACGGTCCCCGTACCCCCCCCCCAACCCGAAGCTCGGGTCAAATTCGTGCCTTCGGGTTGCGTTGGGGTGGTCTGGTGGGTAGTCAAGGGAGTGAGGGTGCGAAAGAGCGCCTCCGTGGGGTCAGGGAGGCTGGAGAAGGGGGACCCCGCAGCTGCAGCCTGCCTTCCCTCCTGCTTCTCCTTGCCGTCAGAGATCCCCCCCCCCCCCCCCCGGGACGGAGGCATGTGCACATTCTTTCAAGGCTCGTGGGTTATGGGGCTTCCGAAGCCCAAAGCACGCCCCCCCCACTTCCCCCCTCTCGAAGCCGGGGGGCGCCCTTCGGGGAGGGGGGGGGGTCAGACGTTCCCCCCCTTCCCTGCCTTTTCGCAGCAGTGGGGGGGGCCCTTTCCAAACGGGGGGGGGCCCGCAGCTGCCCCCCCCCGGCAGCTGAGTTCTTGGGGCTTCGGGGGGGGGGGATCCTCGTTGCCCCGGCTGAGAAGCTTGGGAGGCTGGCCAGGATGGTGTCCGGGAGGGGACCTGGGACTGCAGCTGAGCGACAGCGGGTTGGGCCGACTTTGACCCCAAGGCGTCGCGAAAAAGTCTCGGCAGGCGTGTCTTTCGATTTCGGCCTCCAGGGGCCAGCTGCGGGGTCGTCGAAGGGCTTGGCGCTCCGCACGGGCGCGAAGGTAACGGCGCTTGGCGCTCCGCGGGCTGATCCGATGATCCGAAGACGTATCCTTCTCCAGTTGGGCGGCGCGTTGGCGCGAGGGTCACTGCGGCCCGCGCTTCGTAAAGCGCGATGCGCTAAGGCAGCGCTTCACCGAGGATGTAAACCTGGGCCGCCCAGCTGCTCTCTGGAGGTGGACAGGGGCAGGCCATGTTTGCAAATGAATCGGCATGGCCATCGGCACAGAGTTCCTATCGCGTGGTCCCCCCCGTGCTCGATTTGAGAGATGCAAGAATTCCCACCTCGCAAGAATCCTCACAACTGTCATCTAGAGATAACTACAAAGGAGAGGGGGAAGATGAACAGCAGGAGGGGCGTTCACAACACAGCATGTGGCCTTGGAGGCTCCGACGATGTTCTACCACCACTGGGAGGTTCGGCTCGAAGGTTTTCAGTGAGATATGTTGAATCACATCGTATTTCCCGCGAGCCCAGACGACATCACCAGCGGGCGAAGCGACCTAACATAGTCGGACGTTTTCTTTTTGTTCCCGGAGTTGCAACAGCCAGGTCACGCAAACCATCCACGTTTGCTTCTGCTGTCCATCCGAGCGGCCAGCTCGGTCAGGTTGGTTGCGGGCCGCCCCAAAGTTGTTGTGCCTGTTTCAGTCACTGCGCTCCCGTTGGCGTTCTGCCCTGCCCTGGCTCAAGCCACCGTGGCCCAAGTTCCTTGACAGTCTCTCCCTTCACGCCTCCGTACCCGCAGCTTCGCCAGGAGATGGCCGCGCTTTCGCGCCCGGCCCTCGCCTCCATCCTCGGCAGCTCGGCCCTCGGCTTCGCCGCGGCGCTCTCCGTCGACCGCGACCGCGGTGGCGCCCTCGGTGCCGACCGCGGTGGCGGCGGACAGACACCCGAGGAGCTGGGCTTCTCCGACGCAGGCGGCCAGGGAGGCGGCGCGCAGAGCTGCGCGCAGCCCTCCTCCTCCTCCTCCTCCTCCTCCTCCTCCTCCTCCTCCTCCTCCTCCTCCTCCTCCTCCTCCTCCTCCTCCTGCGCGCAGCACGGGCGGTCCCTGGAGGCAGTCCCGGCGGGCCTCGGCCGTTTGTGGATCGGGAGTTGGCCAGGTGATCTTCTGCGCGTTCCAAGTCTGCGGTTTGGCGGTGTCCATGGATACGCACATGTATCATGATAGGTTCTCGCGTATGCTCGGGGGCGGAAAAGAGGGGGGTGATGACTAGGGGGGGGTGGATATCATGGCGGGGGCCATGATATTTCCCCAGATTTCATGGCGCCTCTTCTTGTTTCATTACGTCCCTGGCCCTCCCGCTGGGCCGCGCACATGCCGCCGGTCATGATTTGCACCCCCCCCTCTTGGACACCCCCCTCTTGGCCGCTCCCGATATGCGGGATTGCACTGGCGCTTCGCGAAGTGCACCTTGGCCCTTGACGTTTGGCATGCAGGCGGAAGGGCAGCAGGGTAGATATCTCATTGGTGCCCTTTTCCGTCATCGTCGTTATAATCATGTGAGTCGTGATGCTCCTTTCGAGGTCTCTTCTTCCCCATTCTCGCCCTATCTTTCGAATTCTTGCCCGTTCTCCTAAGCACCGTTTGTGGAGGCTCCTCCTCGGAGAACCTCTCGGGGTCCTCACGAAAGTGTTTGGAGGTTTCTTGGGGCCTTTGGAAGCTTCATGGGCGCCTTCTGGGGGCCTCTTGGGGCGTCCTCTGGCTACCCTGCTTCCATCCGCGGTCTCCATTTTGAACGCTTCGGGTAGCGTCTTGGCCGTCAAAGAGCTCTCTTCGCGCCATCTTGAGGCCTTGTTGGGCCGTCTTGGGGCTCTCTTGGACTGCCTGGAAGCATTTTTGTTGGCAGTGATGGGCCGATCAATCTTTTCTGGCATTTCTACAACCTCTTGAGGTTTTTGTTGGGTCATCTTGGGCGTCTGGTGGGTATTTGGGGTTCCTTGGGGCCCTCGCCGGGCAGTTCGGCAGCCCTCCTGAACGATTTTGGCCACGGGTCTTGAGGGTCGCGGCTTCAGGGGAGGGGGGCTCCACCCCCCAGGATTGTCGATATATAGATAATGGAATGTTATATATGTATATGCGTGTATTAATGTATGTTCACACATGTATATAAGTGGGGCCCCACCCCCCAGGATTGTAGAACTATAGCAAAGGAACTGCATGTACATAATCGATACACATATACATACAGACATGCATATCTATATGTGTTATGTGATCTTACATATATGTATATGTATGTAGATGTGTACGTATTTATTTGCGCCCCGCCGTTGGTGATAAAGGTGAGAGGGCGGGCGCTGTGGGCGTCGCTGGTCGGTCGCAGATGAGTCGCGAGATGTGTCGTGGGCGGGTCGCGGGGCGGTTTGCAGATGGTTCACGGGCGGGTCGCGGGGAGGGTCGCGGGCAACAAGCCGAAGCAGAATCCCGTTTCAGCCACGCGCCTGAGGAGAGTGAATGACCGTTTCACCTTCAGAGTGAGGGGGGGGGAACGGTATTGCACGAAATCTGGGTGCGTGGATGAAGCTGGATTCCGCGGCGCGTTGTTGTTGTTGTTGTTGCTGGTTGTCGTCGCCCCACCCGCGACCCGCCCGCGGCTCCTTTGCCAGAGCCCCGCAGAGTGCAGACGACCCCGACGCCCCCTCACTTCTACACGCAAGTGCGGGGGCGATGTATGTATGTATGTATGTATGTATGTATGTATGTGTATACATATATCTATATAGATCTACATATGTATACAGGGCTGGACCTAAACGCTGTTTTGCTGGACGCCGGCTTTAGTTTGTTTTTTTTCGCGTTGGCAAGGAGGTATTGGACAACAGGTAGAGCAACACGAACAACAACACATACATCTAACGAAACAGAACGTATTGGTCCAGCCTTGTGTATATATGTAATATGTGTGTATGCATATAGGTGTACACATACATATCCATACATACATGCATGCATGCATGCATGCATGCATACATACATGCATACATACATGCATACACACAACCATACATACATACATGCATACATACATGGATACATGCGTGCATGCATGCATGCATGCATGCATGCATACATATGTACGTGCATACATGCATACATGCATACATACATGCATATATAGAGATATATGTGTACATATATGTATATTCATACACGGAACGGTAACGATATACGCATCTACCAGGGTGGACAACGAATTTTTGGGGTCGACAAGTCTGTAGACCTTTCTATCCTAGGGGGGGGGCAACGAACCTTTCAGTAAGGATATACGCATAGTTTGGGGTCCACAAGTCGGAACACCGAACCTCTGAATTGGGTCCGGGCCCCCCCGGGTTTCTCCTGGCCTCTGACGGCAGCTCCAGGGCAGGGCCCAGAGAGCGCCATGAGTTCCCAAGAGGGCACGAGTAAGCGACAAGGCGCCCCAAGGGCAGCTACGACGCATCCAAGACGGCTCAAGACAGCCCAGCATTGCTGCTACGAGGCCTCCTTAGATGGGCCCAGGGGGCCCTCACAGGACCCCTGGAAGGCTCCCGAGAGGCAACCAATATTGATTGCACACGGTTGCTGACATGTTTTACGGTTCATGTTTGACAATGTTTAGAGCGCCCGAGTCGGCACAACAGGTCTTTGTAGTCTTCCGAGACAGCCCGAAAGGGTTTCAGAAGGACCCCAAGGGACGTTGAAGGCAACCAAACAGGGCCCCGAGATGCCCAAGAGGGCCCGAGGGATGCTTCAGATGGCCCAGACGCGCTAGAGGGCCTCTAGGGGTGCTCAAGACGGCCCAAGGAGGGCCGCAAGACGGCCTAAGAAGGGCTTCAGTTGGCCTTGCGCAGCCCCAGGTGCCTCCCAAGACAGCCTAGAGGATCCCAAGATTATCCAAGAGGGCCCGAAGGCCGCCCAAGAGCCCTCCAACAGGTCCCCGAAACCGTCCCAGCTGACGCCTCCAGTCCATGTTCTTTCAAGGTTTCCCTCTGAACAGCGAAGGTTCTGAGGGGATGCATTGTTGACATGCGTTCAGGGAACCTGCTCTCAAAACATCGAGTGCGACAAAGTGACCGCCCGCCACCCGTGCCGTGTCGTGCCCGGCGTGCCGCGCCCAGCTTGATCCCAGAAGGCGAACCGCGTACCGTGCCGTGCTCGCGTGCTCTGCCGTGCCGTGTGTCCCGGTGCAAGAAGGCAGCACGTGGCGCGGCGTACCCGCACTCCGTGCCGCAGCGTGCCGCGCTCGGTCTCGCCCAGGAAGCTCTTTTCTGCTGTTGACTCAACACGTGTCGGGTATAGCCAGGACCCCGGGTAAGGGGACCCGGTGAGTGGTAGGGCCCTGGGGCCCCTCAATTGGCCAGATTCACTAAACCAGGTTTGCCGTAACTGACGCTCCAATGTGGGTTGTCGTTACTGTTCAGGGTATCTCCGCACGCTGTAGTTGTAGAGTGTTGCGCACTCCCTTGTTCGACCGTTGGAGCGTCCCACACGGTACCAGCAGCCAAGCATCGCCCCCCGACAGGCCGACCGAACTCCAGAGAGCCCCAAGACGGGCCGCATACTACCTAAGCTTGGCCCCATGCGGCCCCCTGGGGCGTTCAACGCGGCTTCCAAGATTGCCCAATTGTCCCCTAGAAGTCCACGTGGCTTGAACCCGCCGCGGCCCACGAGCCATTCAGAACGATCCAGAACGGCTCACGGACGACCCAACAGCAGTCCCACAAGATCCCCCGCAGGCAAGCAGTGCAGATGTTCTCATTGATTACTCTTGTGTATGTATGTATACACATCAATGTAAGTTGCACGCTCGCCTTTTGAGCCTTCAGAGCGCCCCAGACAGATCAAGAAGTCCTCAGGATCGCGCCCAGATGGACCCAAACGGGCTGCAAGAGTGCGCCTAGTCTTTAGGTGGCCCGAAAAGAGCCCAAGCTCGCCCCACGAAGCCACAGGAGCGCCCCCAGAGGAGCTCAAGACGGCCCCACAGAGCCCTAAGCTTGCCCGAGATGAGTCCCAGACGACAGCCCCAAGAAGGCCTAAGAGACCCGCAAGAGAATTGAGGGGGTCCAATTTGCCGACCAGGGCCCCAAGACTGTCCAATAGGCCCCCAAAACGAGCCCACACCGGCCATACTATTCCCCCAAGGGATTCTGAGATACCTCCCCTCGTACGTTATCTGGACCATCTCACGCCACCTGAGCCCGTCAGACCGCCTTCGGACAGCCGAACAATTATCCCCAAAAGAGAGTCGATTCCAAGCTGGCCTCCTGCCCTACCCTTCCTGCCACCATCATATCTCCCTTCTCTCATCCGTCCTCCCCATCTTCTGTCATCGCTTCCCCCTCCTCCCGTTTGGACATGCGTCCCCATTCTCGTTCGATCCGCCCTCCTCCCTCTGCAATCCGTGTCTTCTTCTGCCTCTATCTCTACATTGCTTCCGCTTCATCCCTCCGCCGTCCTGCCTTCTGCCTCTCATGCCTCTGCCTCCATATCTCCTGCCTTTTGCCTCCTGCCCCTATCAATCCTTTTGTTCTCCTCTCCCGTCTCTCCTTCATGCACGAAGGGGTCTGGCCCATCTCCCCTGAAACATCCTCGCAGCTCTCGGCTTCAAAATTCAACTCACGAAGCGGCCTGGCCCGTTTGGCGTGAGACATCCTCGTATCTGAGGGCTCCGAGATGCCGCGCTGGGAGTGGTTGAGATATTTTCATTTCTCCAGAGTGCCATCTTTACCAGTCGAAGACAACGAATAGTGAGAGCTCGTGATGGAACGCTGTCCCCAGAACGTGCTCGTCCATTACGTTTGCCAGAGTTTGCTTGAGCCCTTCTCCCATGGAATGCTCATCGATGATTGCAGTTCGTCCTGCGAGCATGTCTGCCACAAGCGCTCACTTGTTGCCACTGCGCATCACAAGGGCCCCCGCTCACTGGTGTCACCGACTGTCGCTTAGCAGGGAGTGGAGCCCGCGGCCGCTCAATTTTTGTTTCGCGAATTTGTGATTGCAACCTCAGGGCGCGCGCTCAGCGCGCTCGTGGTTCTAGCATGTGTGATATATACATATATGTATATGTGCATGTATATATGTATATATATATATATATATATATACATGTATAACTATATGTATACATGTATCACTATGTATGTGTGCGACCGTATACACGAATACATCCACACATGCACAGTCGCATCCGCATGGTCTTTCCATGGCAACGGATGCCCGTGCCATGGCCGTGCCATGGCCGCCCAAACGAAAGAGCCCAGGGACTGACTGCCCAGGGGTCCGTACGATCGAAGTGAGACGGACAGAGTGGGGACGAAAACCGAGAGAGTTCGCTGTCGGTGCCGCCGCGGGGGCTGTCCATTGGAGACAGAAGGCCGCCTGCCCAACATCGGCCGCTGTGGATTTGGGGGACCATTTGATTTTGCGCATGGTGCCCATGTTCCCCATACCAGGTGTTCAAATGGGTGTTTGCTGAGACTGGCCAGGACTACCTCCGGGGCTGTCCTCTGCACCTCCCCAAGCCTTGCCAGCAGGTGACTCCGACGACTCGAACAGCTATGGTAAGTCTCAGTTCAGCGAAGAGTTCTGCCTGGACATCGGTGCCAAGGGATTCCCGATCCCCACCTTCAAGATGCTCCAGGCGGCCAACTGGGACGCAGCGACGTATTTCGCGCAGTTGCAAGGGGCAGGGTACGCAGAGGACGCTTTGCAGATGACGGGCCCGGACGCGGCCTTGCTGAAGTCGGACTGCATGAAAGAGCGCGCTCATGGCAGGTCGAGGCACATCTTCGTGGGCGATTCGCAGATGATGTCTCTTCGCAATGCGTTCCACCGCCTCAACAAGTGCCCCGAGATATGGTACTCCAATCACACCGAGCAGGACATCTCCGACATGATGGGCACGGTGCGGAGGAACGAGAAGACCCAGACCAAGACGAAGAGCAACGCCCGCTTCTACTCCCGCGCCGAGCAGGTCCCCGCCCAGCTGCCCCACGGCTGCACGGAGGAGGGCATTGCATCCTTCATCCATTGGGACGGCTGGGCAAGCCACACGCTGCCCGTGAAGGACATCAAGAAGGAAATGGACATGATCGGTGTAGACCCTGCGGAGGGGGACAACGTTGTCGTCTGGGTTGGGTCGAACTTCATCCCGGCAAGGCACAGGATGAGCGCCCTGCTGCAATCCATCAACAAGCTCCACGAGATGAAGGTCAAGTTGGTGTGGGACTCGCCCGCCTACCAAGACGTGGCCCTGATGGCCGCCACGACGACCCACAGCGAAGGGCGCGACGAGCGAACTAAGATTCCCATCACCTTCAACTCCATCTCTCAGCGGAAGACCTCTGGGCAGATAGGCTCAAACGAGTATGTGTGGCCTTCGGCCTAGCCCGCCACCGCGCCTGGGTTGTAGCTCTGA